AAGAAGAGCGGATATTGCGCCAAGGATATCAGAGTTGCAGAGTCAACTAGCTGATTGGGCAATATGTCGTAGGAGAGGACGATAGGCCGAAGAATCGGACGAAGCGTCGAGGGACCAATGACATGCCAGACAACTTGATTAATGCTTAGTATTAATTATCTAGATCGAAGTTTATTTTACATGTGCAGGATTAACTATGATGGCAGTAAGACATGCAGTAGGTGTTGAGCTGGAATTAAGACAAAGATCACGTTGGGGGTTCGAGAGTTCGTCGGAAGTCCGGACAGTCGTTGGAGGTTCTGCGGGAACAATCTAAGAAGTCTAGGAGCTTGCCAAAGAAGCTCGTCGGAACTCGCCAAGAGGATCGTCGCAAGTCCAGGAGTTTGCCAAGAGTCCACCGGAGCATTGTCGAGAGTTCGTCGGATGTTCGTAAGAAGTTCGCCGGAAGAAGCGATTGACTCACCGGAACACAATCTGCAGTATTGATGTCTTAATTATGGTAGTTAGCATGTAGATTAAGTTAGGATTGAAAGATAATCTCATTAACTTAATCTGGGGCCAATTGGGCCCGTGGCAGACCCAAATTGGGCCGAATGGATCAGTCCATTCGGACCCAGAATTCTTGTCAAGCGGTAGCACCGCCTAGGAGACTTGGTCTCCTAGGAATTCTGGTCGATGGTACTGCCCTAGTCAAGTAGTGATACCACCAGAGCTCGGTCTCCGAGCTCTGCCAGGCGGTGGTACCACCCAGACTGAGTGGTAGTACCGTCCAGTGTCAGATGACAGGCGATAGTACCTCCTAGTTATGGTGGTGGTACTGCCAGGACCCCAGAAATCTAGGAGATGATACTTTTGAGCTCCAAATTCAAACTGATTAAGGCCTATATAAACCCCACCCTTTCTGCATGAAAGGGTAACCAAAAAGCTTATTTTTATTCTGAGTATTTGAGAGCTTAAAAGTATTGTAAAAGGCTAGAAGTTCTTCTCCCTCTTTCTTTCTAAGTGTTGATCATTCAAGAGAGTGAAAATCTGTAAGGGTTATCTCCTAAGCCCATCAAAAGGAGAAAATGTATAAAAGGTGGTTGGCCTTCGCCTATTGAAGGAAGGCCTTAGTGGACGTCAGTGACCTCGTCGGAGGAGGAAGTCAAAAGTGGATGTAGGTCAAGATTGACCGAACCACTCTAAATATCGGTTTGCATTTATATTCTACTCTTTATCTTAACTGCAAACTGCCTCCATTGCTTTACATCATCTATACTTTTGTTTGCTCTTAAGTTAAAGTTCTTTTCGAAATGGTTTTCGTACGAAAGTTTTTTAACCGACGAAAGTTTTTTGCTGCACTAATTCACCCACTCCCCTTAGTGCTCTTGATCATAACATCTAAAAGGCTCTCAATTATGTATTTCTTCTTTATAAATACTCATCACTTCATTTCCAAGCTTCCATCGATGCTGATTTGGCAAGCAACATTGATGATAGAATATCTATGTTAGCCTATATTGTCTTTCTTTGAGCAAATTCAATCAGTTGGATTTTCAAAAAATATAAAACAATGGCAAGTCCATTATTAAAGTTGAATATCGAGCCAACGCTACTACCACTATAGAACTCAATTAGGTTACCAATCTACTATAAGAACTTGCCATCAACTCCAAATCTACCTTTATAATATACTATGATAATATTAATATCACATACTCATGTGTCAATCTAGTATTCCACTCATGTATGAAATACATTGCTATCGACTTTGATTTTGTTAGAGATCAAGTTATCAGACATTAACTATGAGTTTCTTACGTACATATTAATGATCAACTAGCAGATTTTCTCACAAAACTTTTCGCCCATAAAATATTTTAATTATATCAGTCCAAGATTAAACTGACATCGAAGCTCAATTTTATAGGAGCATGATAGAAGATCAAGACAAAAGATCATTGAGGAAATCAATCATCTATTATTTGATGATGTTACGGATTTGAATAACTAATTTCGTTATATAATTTGATGATTGATCGAGAAAAATCTTTTCCTCAATATCTATATAAATACTCTTTACCTCAATCAATAAATTCTTTTGACAACCTAAACCTATTTCTTGTTTCTACGGTCTTCCCTGTGGTCTGCAAGGCATGCAGAGTGCAATTCCTACTTGCAAGTCTCTTCGTTGATCCTTAGTGGCGGAGGAGCTCTCCACCGGCGACCGGGAGCTCCGAGAAAGCTACTTAGAGTTGGGTGGCAATCGGCCATTTTATATAAGCCGTTGGATCTTTGAATGTGTCATGGTTTTTGAATCATCGCGCCGTCGCTCCGCTTGAGGGAGTTCACATTGGTGTGAAACGTGGAGATTAACGCACACCGGTTTCTGATCCTTGTAACTTTTTGACTGATGTTCACCGCTAGATTCATTTATCTTACTTTTCTTCATCTTCTTTCATAATTCTGTGTCAAGCCTACTAATTTACATTTTTTTTGGTGTTAATGCTGCTTTGTTCTAATATTTGTCGTCATTTTATTTTCTTGTTAATGGTGAATAATTGCTGGTAGATGAAATATATTAATATAGTAAGAGTGTTTTGATTAAAAAGGAGCAGATATATGATTTTTTCCTTATTATTGAACTCTCTATAAGGTGATAATTATAATCGAATCATCTCTGAATTCATGTTTTACGTGCGTTATCTGTGAAGTTAAATATGTGTGGCGACGCTTGTTGGCTTCTCCATCAATCAATCGATAAAAGACACTAGCAGATATGGCCGCAGAGAGAGTAGCTACTAAATCACAAACAATACGGACCACATGATATCAGCATTAATATTTTATTACAAAGTCATCCACAAATCACCAAACAGACACATAGAAAACAACGTTTCAACCTCCATCTTCCTCCCCATACACACCTGCTAAACTCATACATGTAAATATATACACAGAGAGATAGAGAGAGAGAGAGAGAGCATTCCCTGTTAGATTGTCGTTCTTGCCTCTTTCCACCGACCCCGTCCTCCGTCTCCACCATGCACTTCAACATCTCCAAAGTCCTCGACCACCGCAAGGACATCTCCAACTTTGTTGACCACCGCAAGGACATCAGCACCGAGAAGGAGGCTCTCGCTGACCTCCTCGCGTCCTCCGGCGATCACTTCCCTGGCTCGGACTTCCACCCCGCCGACCGCAAGACCTGGATGTCGGAGCTCGGCCCCGACCGGCTCAGGATCAACCAGATCGTCTGGCCCGGCACCCACGACTCCGCCACCAACGACATCGGCGTCCCGCTGGTCACCCGCCCCTTCGCGGAGTGCCAGACCCGCTCCATCTACGACCAGCTCGTCCTCGGCACCCGCGTCCTCGACGTGCGCGTCGAGAAGGGACGACACATCTGCCACGGCATCCTCCAGTCGTACAGCGTCGACGTCGTCCTCGACGGCGTCAAGCGCTTCCTCTCCGAGGCCGAGTCTGAGATCGTCATCCTCGAGATCCGCACCGAGTACGGCCACGAAGACCCGCCGGAGTTCGACAAGTACCTCGTGGAGCAGCTCGGCGACCTGCTGATACACCATGACGACGCTGTGTTCGGCAAGACGGTGGCCGAGGTGCTGCCCAAGCGAATCATATGCGTGTGGAAGCCGAGGAACTCTCCGGCGCCCGCCGCCGGGAGCCCGCTGTGGAGCGCAGGTTACCTCAGGGACAACTGGATCGACACCGACCTGCCGAAGACCAAGTTCGACAGCAACATGAAGCACTTGGGCGAGCAGCCGCCGTCGGCCGCGAGGAAGTACTTCTACCGGGTGGAGCACACCGTGACGCCCAAGCCCGAAAATCCGGTGGTCAAGATGGTGGACAACGAAATCCGGCCGTTCGCGCGGCTGTTCATCGCGCAGACCTTCGCGCAAGGGTTCGCAGATCGGCTGCAAGTCTTCTCGACCGACTTCATCGATGAGGATTTCGTGGATGCGTGTGCAGGGATGACCCAAGCGAGGGTAGAAGGCCAAGGCATAAGCTGAAGAGGTTTACGTGCTCTACTCACCTTATCCGATTACGATATAAATGCATGTCTTAATTTCCTGCATATTTTCTCAAGATGTTGGGGAGGATTATAGTTGGTGATATTAAATCTTTATAAATCAAGATGTTTTATGTTAATGGTTAAGCATTGTCAACATCATTAACAAAAATTTACGTTCACGATTGTATTAAAGTTATTCATCTATATTTTAAGTTATTAAAATTTATTTTAACGTGTCTTATTAGTATTTTAATAATAATTATTATTATATGTGATGGTAGGAGTTTGTTATCCTTAAGTCTTTATTGGCAACCACCGACGGGTTGTCATTTGGATCATTGCGTCATCCAAACCCACCTCAATAATGCAGTCTGATGATTGATAGAGCAATAGACAAGTGGAACTCTCCATCAAAATTAAATGATGTATGGACATTTTTGAATATCTTTGGATCGAATTCTATAATAAAGATCACGCCCTAAACTAATTTAATTGTTATAATCGAACAAGAACAGAACGTGATGTAAATTAGCTTAAAATAACATAAAGTTACTTGAACCTCTCAAGGGTGGGGTGTTAATTTGTGACTTGATAAATAAAGAACAATTATAAGCGAGCTGACAAGCCTAAATATCACATCAATGCTCTTAGTGGGGCCTATGATGATAGCATTATTATCGAGGCTGCACCATGTGATGATTCCAGATTCATATCTATCCACAATATATCGGTCACCTTTAAATAAATAATAATAATAATTAATATTATATAATCTTAACTCCGGTTCGTCTGCGTATTTGGAATTCGAGCAAACCGAACCCGGTTGGATCCGATTTCATGTTATCCCATATTACTCGTTTATAAACGCAAAGCAATATAAGACTGGGATATAATTAGAACATGATCCAGGTTGATTGGCGCATTAAGAATTTCGATAATCCTCATGTATTAATTATCTTTCATAAACATCTCATAAGTACAACTAAAATAATATAAGTCATCGAGCTCATATTCAGCTACTTTTGCGTCAATAAATTAGTATATCCTCAGTAACTTAATTCGTCAGCGAGATTAGCAGAAGACGACGTGAAAAATTCCGCTACTGAGTTGGCCGCACGAAGGGCACGCCGGGGCGACGCCTGCGGCGGCGCAGTCGGCGCAGAGGCAGAGGTGACCACAGGGCAGCACTGCCACGGTGGTGCTCCGCCACAGGCACACGCGGCATGAACCGTGGGATCCCGTGCAGGACGGGACGTTAGACGACTGGGCGTCCTCGACCATGGCGAGGCAGCCGCCATCTCCGGCGCTCTCGCCCGTTCGCTCCGGCGGGGTCGCCGTCTCCCGCTCCAGCTGGGCGCGGAGGATGTTGGCGTTGTGTTGGGCCTCCAGGGCTTTGGCCTGCCACGCTATGGACTCCACCTTCACGTGCGCGAGCTGCTCCCGGAGCTGCGCGCACCGTCGCAGTGCCTGCTCTGCCTCCGCTTCCTTTTCCCGAATCCTTCGAGTCGCCTCCACCTCCGCCGCGCACAGGAGAATCTGGCAGTGCCTTCGCCACTTCTCCAACAGCGTCCGACGAAATTGATCTGCCTGCGCAAAAGATCCAACTAAGCCCATCACTGCTCCTTGTTCTGCGAACAGAAAGTTACACATAACACGGAGAGAGAGAGAGAGAGAGAGAGAGAGAGAGAGAGAGAGAGAACCTGAGCGCGGAGAAATCCTTGGACCTCTCCTTCGTATTTCTTAACGATAGCTGCGATTTCTTCGAAGTCTTGGGATGACGATGGAGGAAGGGGGCTGAAGTGGTTGAAGACCTGGTGCTGGTTTTGCTCTCCGAAGAGTTTGAAGCCGGTGGAGAGGGAAGGGGGCCTCGGTGGAAGCTGGAGAGGACAGCTCATCATCATCGGCGCTGATGAGTAGCCGTATCCTGGGTTGTTGCTAGTTGCAGTAGCGTTAACCTGCGCTGCTGCTGCGGTGGTCGCTGCCGCTGCCGGCTCCTTCCTCATCCTCTTGCGTGGTGTCTGGCTCGCTGCAGCCACAGCCGCCACCGTCGTCTCACCGATCAGAACCCGAGGTTTCAAGAGACGTATATCCAAAGCGGCAGAGTTGGACTTACCGGTTTGATTCCTGACCAACACTGGCGGCGGCACCGGAGGAGGGTCGACGCTCCGCTGTTGCTCCCCTCTGCATGCGATTCTCAGTTCACAAACGCATCAAAAGATGAAAACTTTGACACGAAACACACGAAATTTCGTTCATCGAAAGGCCAACATTTCGAGAAGAAAACGTGTAAAAATTACGACAAAAAAGGGGGAAAAAATCAAATTTTTAGCGCAGAAACAGTAGAAAGATGGATCACATGTTCTGATTCCGAACAACGGATGGCCGCTTCGCTCGAACTGTCATTGCCGATACACTAAACGACACAGACACGAGAGATGCAATCTAATTGCTGTCTCTTCGCATGAACTCACAACACGTACTCGTGGGGGTTTACGCGCATAAATTGACGCGTCCAAGTGCCAGTTTCGTCAACCGAATCAATACTTTCCAACACCGTGGTTAAAGATACAGTCTTGATGGTTTACTATAAGGCATAAATTAGTAGGGGAAAAGATATGGATGTATGCTTCACTTATAAATACGTGGAAATTGGTTACTTACTATCCTTTTTCTTCTTACTGTTTTTCCCAGGTTTCCTTTTCTAATTTTCCAAAACCTGGATTCATACGGCAAGTATACATTTGTTTCTCCTTTACCAAATTATCCTTGCTATGTTATCCAAATTAATTAAAATAGAAAATCATCATCACATTGTGATTAAAGTGGACAGTATTGCATCAATGTTTGCAAAATTAAGGTTATTTGATGGTGCCAGCGGTCTTTTTATTTGTCAAAAAACACTTGCTGATTACTGAATCTTGTCTGCGTAATCGCATTGGACAGATAGTTTTATTGAATAATGTCAAAAGAAGGACCTTAAATTTGCTTATAATAATGCCAGTTGGATCAAAATAAAAAACAATTAGATTATTGGACATCTGCTTTTTCCCATATGAATTACCTTTATTTGCAACTACCACTTTACTATTTATGAATTGTCATCTGTGGTAGATTAGATACGACAACTACTACTTTTACATTCAAATGGAGCCTTTATTGGTTGAATTATTTTTCATGGTAATGGAGTAATTGCAACCATTTTTCTTCAAACATTGTGGTCATACTCGACAAACAAGAAAAGAACAATCGTTCCAAGAAAGGCTCCTCCACGCAGTTTGTGAGGAAACAGATCTCAAATTATATGATCTCATATGCTAAATTTTAGCTATAGATTACATGTATTTCCAAGAGAATATGCCTATATTACAATACATTTGCACATGTTTCCCGTGAACTATTGATGGCAGTGTATTGGGCTTCATTCCAATTATCTTAAAAGATTTGCTCTATGATCTGCAAAACTTTAATGTGGACTTAGAGTCCAATGTTTTGCTCTAAATTTTTTGCTAGAAATACTAGGTATATAAATATATATATATATAAATAATATATATATATATATAAATAATATATATATATATATAAATATATATATATATATATATAAATATATATATATATATATATATATATGTTCTCATAAGCAAATTTAGCAAATCAAGCCATTTACAAATAGGCAAATATCAACAAATCGAAGTAGGATTTGGAGTCTCCAATATTAAAAGGGGTGATAGGGATCACGCGGGGACGAGAATCAAATCATACAATTTTGTATGTTACATTGAACATTATCACAATTCATCTAGATTTGCATTTTGTTTAGGAATTTACTTTCGTTCACTTCATGTTAAGATACACATTCTCTTTTGCAAGATCTTAATCAAGGCTGAATGCAGTGTTTTCCTTTAAAATAGTGATCTTAATTTGATGTTAATTGCATGTACAAGTTTGAAAATACCATATTCACGTTGAATCATTGAATTATTTACATGCTTGTTTAATCGCATTAATACTATGTTAGGGTACATTTTGATTATCCAAACTGGAAACTGATTTGGATCCAACCATCTTTCTTCCGACCTATCTCAAGGTAGAGCTTATTGCACATTTGAATTTTGTAAAACTACATCGAGGCACTCCCGACAATATCTCTTTAATGTTTAAGTCAATAATCTAGTTGGATAAGTTAGATTTAGATTGCTCTATCTTTTGAGCATATATATATATATATATATATATATATATATATATATATATATATATATATATATATATATAT